AGCCAAACCCTAGAATTTAGGTTTCACCGATATTGCAATCGGTCTCACCGAGTTGTTGTGACCAAGTTTCTGTAAGCCAATTGGTTCATTTAGGAATCACTGAGTTGGATTGATTCGGAACTACCGAAACGAGGTCCTGCCTAGGTTATCGCATTTTGGTCTGTCCGAGATTTCCACTTCGGTCCCATCGAAAAGTCCAACATTCATATCTTTTACACAGGTTGGTCTCACCGAGTTTTCGGATTGGTGTCACCGAGTTGAATCAAAAGTGTGTAATAGTAGGATTTTGGGTGAAGGCTATAAATACCCCTCCACCCCCACCTACTCTCTAAGAGAGCCATCAGAGCGAATCTACACTTCCACCATTCATTTTCTGAGAGAGAACTACCTACTCATATGTTGAGATCAAGATATTCCAATCCAACCATTTCAACTTTGATTTCTAGCCTCCCCAAGTTGCTTTCCACTCCAATCCCTCTCCTACCCAAGCAAAATCTATGAGAGAGTGACTGAGTGTTGAGGAGGCTATCATTTGAAACACAAGAGTAAGGAGTTCATCATCAACAACACCGTCCATTACCTTTTGGAGAGTGGTGTCTCCTAGATTGGTTAGGTGTCACTTGGGAGCCTCCAAGATATTGTGGAGTTGAACCAAGGAATTTGTAAGGGCATGGACATCGCCTACTTCGTGAAGATCTACCCGAGTGAGGCTAGCTCTTCATGGACATAAACCATGGTGGAATATACAAGGTTGCTTCATGGACCCTTCATGGGTGGAGCCCTCCATGGACTCGCGCAGATGTTACCCTCCGTGGGTTGAAGTATCCATCAACATGAACGTACGATAACACTGATGTCTACTACAAAACCTTCTTCTTGTAGACGTTGTTGGGCCTCCAAGTGCAGAGGTTTGTAGGACAGTAGCAAATTTCCCTCAAGTGGATGACCTAAGGTTTATCAATCCGTAGGAGGCGTAGGATGAAGATGGTCTCTCTCAAACAACCCTGCAACCAAATAACAAAAAGTCTCTTGTGTCCCCAACACACCCAATACAATGGTAGATTGTATAGGTGCACTAGTTCGGCGAAGAGATGGTGATACAAGTGCAATATGGATGGTAGATAAAGGTATTTGTAATTTGAAATTATAAAAACAGCAAGGTAGCGAGCGATAAAAGTGAACGTAAACTGTATTGAAATGGTAGGAAACAAGGCCTAAGGTTCATACTTTCACTAGTGCAAGTTCTCTCAACAATAATAGCATAATTGGACCATATAACTATCCCTCAACATGCAACAAAGAGTCACTCCAAAGTCACTAAAGCGGAGAACAAACGAAGAGATTATGGTAGGATACGAAACCTCCTCAAAGCTATCCTTTTTGATCTATCTATTCAAGAGTCCATAGTAAAATAACATGAAGCTATTCTTTCCGTTCAATCTATCATAGAGTTCATACTAGAATAACACCTTAAGACACAAATCAATCAAAACCCTAATGTCACCTAGATACTCCATTGTCACCTCAAGTATTCGTTGGCATGATTATATGATATGCATCACACAATCTCAGATTCATCTATTCAACCAACACAAAGTACTTCAAAGAGTGCCCCAAAGTTTCTACCGGAGAGTCAAGACGAAAACGTGTGCCAACCCCTATGCATAGGTTCATGGGCGGAACCCGCAAGTTGATCACCAAAACATACATCAAGTGGATCACGTGAATATCCCATTGTCACCACAGATAAGCACGACAAGACATACATCAAGTGTTCTCAAATTCTTAAAGACTCAATCCGATAAGATAACTTCAAAGGAAAAACTCAATCCATTACAAGAGAGTAGAGGGGGGAGAAACATCATAAGATCCAACTATAATAACAAAGCTCGCGATACATCAAGATCGTGCCATAGAGAGAACACGAGAGAGAGAGAGAGAGAGAGAGAGAGAGAGAGAGATCAAACACATAGCTACTGGTACATACCCTCAGCCCCGAAGGTGAACTACTCCCTCCTCGTCATGGAGAGCGCCGGGATGATGAAGATGACCACCGGTGAGGGACCCCCCCTCCGGCAGGGTGCCGGAACAGGGCCCGATTGGTTTTTGGTGGCTACAGAGGCTTGCGACGGCGGAACTCCCGATCTATCTTATTTTCTGGAGGTTTATGTATTTATAGGATTTTTTGGCGTAGGTGCCCGAGTCGTCCACGAGATAGGGGCCCACGCCCAGTGGGGGTGGGCGCGCCCCCCACCCCCGTGGACAGCTCGGGACTCTTCTGGCCCAACTCTTTTACTCTAGGGGATTCTTTTGGTCCATAAAAAATCATCAAAAATTGGCACGTCAATTGGACTCGGTTTGGTATTCCTTGTCTGTAAAACTCAAAAACAAGGAAAAAACAAAAACTGGCACTGGGCTCTAGGTTAATAGGTTAGTCCCAAAAACAATATAAAAGTGTATAGTAAATCCCATTAAACATCTAAAATAGATAATATAATAGCATGAATACTTCATAAATTATAGATACGTTGGAGACGTATCAAGCACCACCTATCAAAACCACGCCAAAAATCACCGTGTCTTCATTGCGTTTGATCCTCCATTTGCATCCCTTTACTTTCCGCACAATTGCATGTTGTATCTTTCCGCTGCTCAATCTCTAGATATGCATGTGTAGGAAGTTTTGGGTGTATCTTAACTTTTTCCAAAACCTGCCTAAGTTTGAAGAAAACTAAAAACTGCACCTTTTGTTGGTTAAGAGTCTATTCACCCCCTCTAGACCTATCTTCTTCATCCTACAATTGGTATCAGATTGTTGGTCTCCATTGCTTTGGTTTAATCACAATTGAAGGAAGATTGATGTGTCTACTTTGGGGAATCTTAGATGTAGAGTGTCTATTCTTGATGGAGAGTACTATAAATCTTGGAAAAATGAAATGTTTGGTATCTTTGATGAATTTAACTTGAGAAATTATATTCAAAGTCCTTATGTGCCTCCTATTGATCCCTTGCACCCAACTCTTGAAGAGGATTTGTTGTTTGTGTGGAGGTGCTGCTAACGAGGTGTTGTTTGGTTCTCCTAATGGATTGATAACCTTGGTTCTTAACTGAGGGAAATACTTATCTCTATTGTACTACATCATCCTCTCCTCTTCGGAGAAATCCAAACGCAGTTCACAAGTAGCAGGAAGAATTTCTAGTGCCGTTGCCGGGGAAACATCATCAACATCTATCAAGTACATGCGCATAAACTTGCATCTCCTTGCATTTATTTTATTTGCCTTTGCCTCTCGTTTTCATCTCTCCCACTTGAAATATCACCGTCGCATGCAGAACTAGGCGATCACACGCTAACCTGGACGGTCCGCATAGCCGCACGCAGGACCTTGGCGAAACCAAGTCGGTTTTGGCCAACCTCTACTTCTGTGCGCAGATCTGGACGAGAATTCGCACCGCAGCGCACAGGAAAAGTCGAGGTCGAACCAAGACTGACCGGTCCGCACCGCCGCTCGCCGAAACTAGGCGAGAACCAAGCCAAACTAACGGTCCGCACCGCCAGGCGCATGACCGGACACCTATGCTGGAAGCTGGTCTGCTTGAGCCTCCTCTGGCACCAACGGGCTGGACGGCGCTCCTGCTCCAAGGAGCCGGACGTGGACATGCTACAAGGAGGATCCCACCAAACATCCAGCGGCACCACCGCTATTTCCTCCACCATCCCAGCGTCGCCGACAGCGATGATCTGGCCGCATGCCCGACATAGCCCAGATCGGGCCCTGTCACTGCAAGCCACTCACCGTTGTGTCGCTCACCGCCGCGTCGCCAACACTCCTCGCGCAGATCAGCCCCTCGCTCGACACATAGACCTCAGCAACCGACCACCCGCCCACATGGCCGCCGGACGCCAGCAACTCCCAGGCACCATGGAGCCTACAAGGCCGCCACCCAGCAGATCCGCGTTGGGGGCGCCGTCCGTGCGCATCCCGCGCCTCGCACACTGCGGAACCTCGCCGGGAGCAGCACATGTGCACCACGCACACCCACTGCCTAGCCTGGGCCAAACCGCATCGTGCCGTCGCGTCTCTGGCCTCCGCCCGCCCGCGTCCTACCGCGACCACCAGTGCGCGAGCACCGCGCCCGCCGCGGACCGGCTCTGCAGCGCACCGACGCCGCACATCCCTTCTCCGCACACACTAGACCATGCGCCCGTCGAGCCCGCTAGCGCTTGCTGAACGCACCGGCCGTGCCCCACGCCTCTCCTCCGCCGAGCGACCCCGCAGCGCCCAGACCTTGCGGGAGGGAAAAAAATTGAAGACCCCGCCGCCGCCGACACCGCGCGGGCTTTGCCCGACGGTGCTTGCCGGCAGCGGCGAGGGGAGAGGGATGTCGGGGAGGGGGAGTTCTTCTGGCGGCTAGGGTTTCGCCCGGGTCGACCGCGGGGGACAACACGAGCGATGTGTTTTCAACACACCCAAATAATGTTTTCAGACGATTGACCTGCAGCTATTGTGTTTTCAGTAATACTGCGCACACGTAAGTGCGTATGAGTACAGGTTGCTGGATAGTGGACACGGTGAGCAGGGAAAGGCGTGCGTGCTGCCATATCACCGTCAGCCAATCCGTGTATGCCGACACTTTTCTAAACTTTTGTTACTCACATGGGAGCTAACCCAAGCTGCAACTCTGCCAAGTGCCAAGAAAGTGGTGGGGCGCTGCACCGTTGTCCATCATAACGTGGCCCCCTGACCCTGTCCTGTTCTTGGCTCCGGGACACGTCCATGGGTAGACCACAATTGTATGCATACGGATATTTAATGGATCCGGTATCCATAACCCGTGGAACGGAACGGTTAGTTCCACCGTCCATTCTAAGTTTCTAACAGTGGCCTCAGCCTATAAAACCCGGGCAGTAGGAAACCTACACAACCAAGCAGATAAGCAGCTGTCCTACTGTCACATACACACACACAAGTGCTAGCTAGCTAATCGATCAGCCAGCCATGGCGGAGGAGAAGCACCACCACCACCTGTTCCACCACAAGAAGGAGGGCGAGGACTTCCAGCCCGCCGCTGACGGCGGCGTCGACATGTACGGGTACTCGACCGAGACGGTGGTGACCGCCACCGGCAACGAGGGCGAGTACGAGCGGATCACCAAGGAGGAGAAGCACCACAAGCACAAGGAGCACCTCGGCGAGATGGGCGCCGCCGCCGCCGGAGCCTTCGCCCTCGTACGCTCTCTCTCATCATAACTAGTGGAGTCGTAATTACCATACGCATATATAGCTCTTGTCGGGCTTGGCTAATGGACTGCGTGTCTACGTGCAGTACGAGAAGCACGAGGCGAAGAAGGACCCGGAGCACGCGCACAAGCACAAGATCGAGGAGGAGGTGGCCGCCGCCGCAGCCGTCGGCGCCGGTGGCTTCGTCTTCCACGAGCACCACGAGAAGAAGCAGGACCACAAGGAGGCCAAGGAGGCCAGCGGCGAGAAGAAGCACCACCACTTCGGCTAGATCGTCGTTGACGTGCGGTGGCCGGCCTCGCCGCCGGCCGTGCGTGTGCTTACGTTACGTGTGTTCCATAAAGTGAGAGAGGCTGGGACGCGGGCCCGGTCTCGTGCTCGCCCGTGCGTGATTTTCTCTGCGTGCTAAGCTTCCGCGTGCCTGAATAAGTGGGGTTGCTGTTCATGCAGTGGCTCCCACACCTCATGCGTCGGTGTGTGTCGTGTGTCGGTGTGTGTTTCAATTCTACCGGCGCCCTGTATTTGTAATTTCACTTTATTATGCAAGTCCTCACGAAACTTTTGTGGCCCATCCATCTCAAAATTTGCTCTAATAGTGTCATTGTTTGTACTGGATTGCTTACAACATGTGTCACGTGGTTGCGGGAAGTATATACTTGAGTTCATGCCTACAACGAATTTTGTTCCACACTAATCTGCTCCCCAAATCAAAAATTTATTAATTACACGAGGCGTGCCCAAAATCTAGAGTCAGTGTTAATTCATGTATCCCTCCCCGCAAGAAGAAAAATCTTTGTATTTCTCGTGTCATATGGAGTCAGCATCAGCGTGAAGAGACAAAACAACATGGTGATTTTTTTATTTTTTTTTATTTTGCGAAATAACAACATGGTGATATAACCTAATGGAGATTCATACTTTCTGTATAGTCAGACCCTTCTGTCACTTCATGAAGATCACCTAATCCTGGCGTTACATCTTTGTACCAAGTGCACCGCAAAGATTGATTGCATAGCACTTTCGCATAAAACAAAGCAAAATTTGAGCAAATCGATTGGTTTGACAAGCTTGACAGGGCATCCACCTCTTCCCTAAAGTGGAAAGGATTTTGTTGCCAAAGACTGATTAGATAGCACTTTTGTGTATAGATACTTTTGAACAAAAAAAATACATTATGACTTACATAAACATTCTCTAGCAACATGCGCATAATTCATAAAAACACAGGAATAATTCTAAATTACGTGTACACTTTTTCAAATTGCAAGAACATTCTTTCTACATGACATGACAATTTTTCTTTAAAATGCATTATTATTTGTCATTAAAAAATTAACGTATTTAAAATTCAAATTACCACTTTTAAAATATGAATACTTTTTTTATTTTATGAGCATATTTTCAAAATACAAGAACTATGTTGTAAAAATACATGAACTTTTTGCAAATTCCCTTGAATATCTTTTAAATACACCAGCAATATTATTAGAAATGCATGAACAGTTTCTCAAAATAGGTAAACACATTTTAAATCAAATGAACATCTTCTGAAACTAAATTTCATGAACATAGTTTGAGGATACATGAACGTATTTATAAAAACACTATTTCTACAATACTCAAAATTTTATTTATTTTTATGAGCGAAGAAATTCCATAAAAAATTACCTTCTAATGACCATACAGTTGCGACTTAAAGCATAATTGGTTTGATGCCAACTTTTGGTATCGAAATATCTCAAAGGCATGGGCGGACATGGTGTATTGCCCACTACAGGTGGTCTATTGCAGGGGGCTCCTATTTCTTGCGTAGGGCGGTAGTTCAAAAAATATTCATTAAATTAAAAAAATTCACGTATAACAAAAAATTTCAGGGATTTTAAATAAATATAAAAAATTCTTGGATTTAAAAATATTGGTCAAATTTGAGAAATGTTCATGATTTCCAAAACATCCTCTGATTTCATAAATTATTTACGAATTGCAAACAATTTCCCGAATTTAAAAAATGTTCAAGTTCTTTAAAAATGGTCACAATTTTACAAAACTAAAGGTAAATTGAAAATAAAAGTATAAAATGGGAAAAGGAAAAAGGAAAAAAAATAGATAACCGGTAGAACCTTCTCAGAACCCGAAAGATGCAGCTAGTTGGGCCGGCTGAACTGAGGTAGCAACACCATTGAACTTTATTTAACAAAGACCACAGTCTGTTGGGTACAATTCACATTGAACTTTATACACATTTAACATGTTACGGATGCTAGATTAACATTTTTCAAATACAAGATTGTTTTTCAAATGCTTTATTAATATTTTTGATATACACGACCAACTTCTTCACACACATTGTATTTTTTTGTATACATTTTTGGTATACTTAAGAAACATTTTCTGTATACACATTTAACACTTTTGAAATGTCTAGTTAACATTGTTTTCAAATGCTTTACACATTTTTGTAATATATTTATTTAGAATTTTTGGAAGTGTAAACAAAAGTAAAAAAGAAAAAAAAACAAAAACAAAGAACCTAAAAAACAAAAACAGAAAATAAAAACCCGGGTCAGCCATCTCGCTCCTACATTAAGACGTGGCTTCACCCGGTCTCGCCAGAAGCGAGGTATAGCAGCGCCCTGCGATATGTGGGTATCCCCGCAGTACCCGAGGACTCCCATATTGGAGGGAACCTCCTATTTCATATTTTACTGGGCCATTCGCCCCTATTAACTCATGGGCCACGAACCAGTAGCACCAACTCCCTCTCGATGTCTGGTCCCATTCTTGCTTCTTTTATTTCCGGTTTGCCTTTTGCTTCGCTGCTCGTGCTTTTAAGACCATTCAGAATCTTTAATATTTTTAAACTCGTGCAACGAAAACGAGTTCATGGATTAAAAAGAATCAAATTTTTTGCATAATCTACACTTATTTTTAAAATGTTTACAATTTTTTTCAAACTCATAAAACTTTAACATCTTCATGAATTTTAAAAAATATTCAAAAATTTGAAAAAATGATCATGAATTTGGAAAATATTTTGAATTTATATAATGCTTAGGTTCTTTCCAAGTAAGCCAATTGAATGTCACATCCATAAAATTCTTGTGAATATCGTTCAAAATTCAATATCTTGTCTAGCGTGGTCCTTGTCCAAGAAGAAAACAAGTGCCTCGCGCATGAAGAAATGAGATACGCGCAATTGAGGACAATTTGTTCATCATGCAAGCTTCATGCCTGGGCGAACTAAAACACTTTCCCATATGCCTTCCTTCCCTACGGGCTGCATGAAGACAGATGACACTGGATGTGTGATAAATCCAATTCTGAAAATGGCTACTATTTCACGCTTACGCTAGAGGCATGAAATAGGAAAAGCTAATTGCAGTGCTCTATTCGGTTTCAACTCACCAACTTGAAGGAGTCTTCGTTAGCCAATGCTAATTCATCCGACCAAATAATGGAAGATCTTCTGGGTTCATAATTTTGCTATTCTGTAATCACTGACCAGGGGTACCATGCTGTGTAATTGTGTCATGTGGTCGCTTCAAGGCGCTAGGGTCATTCCCTCACAAATGTGTTGGGGTCATCTAGTAGGATTTTCCGACAGTTCTAGGAGATGTATTGGCCATTGTTTGTAAACTGTTTTGGGTTTTAAATTTTTAAACGATCCGGACATTCAAAATTCTGAATATTTTTTGCCATTGTGCTCCTCTCATGGTTTTAATTTTCTCCCTTATTTATTTTATTTTGTATTTTGTCTGATCTATCTATCAAAAACTATACAATTTAATCTTGCTCGTAAACCGTCAAGGGACTGACAACCCCTTGTTCGCGTTGGGTTGCAAGTATTTGTTGTTTGTGTGCAGGTGTTGTTCACGAGTCGTTGCTTGGTTCTCCTACTGGATTGATAATCTTGGTTTCACAACTAAGGGAAATACTTATCTCTACTGTACTACATCATCATCTCCTCTTCGCGGAAATCCCAATGCAGCTCACAAGTAGTAACATTGTTTTCAATAAAACTGTCATGGTGTTGTTTTTGTGTAGATATAAAAGTTCTTGGAATTGGACAAAACTTTTTTGGAGATTTTTTAGTGAATAAATAAAAAATACTGGAATGAAGATCCATCGGAGGGGGGCCATGAGTTGCTCACAAGGCAACAGGGCACGCCTACCCCCTAGGGCGCGCCCTGATGCCTTGTGGGTCCCACAGGCGGTCGTCTGACCTATCCAAGCCTATAAATTTTGTTTTCCCAAGAAAAAAAATAAGAGAAGTTTCATGACTTTTTACGATATGGACCGACCGCCACCTCCTATTCTTCATTGGGAGGGCTGTTCTGGAGTCCGGTCGGGGCTCCAGGGAGGGGGGTTCATCACCATCATCATTACCAACCCTTCTTTATCAACAATTCCATGATGTTAACTGCCGGGAGTGAGTAATTACTTCGTATACTTGCTAGACGGTGATGGAGTTGGATGAGATTTATCATGTAGTGAGTCAATTTGTTAGGGCTTAATCCCTAGTACCCACTATGTTCTGAGACTCATGTTGCTATGACTTTGCTATGCTTAATGCCTGTCACTAGGGCCCGAGTGCCATAATTTGAGATTGGAACATATTATGTTTTCATGAATATAAGTGTGTTTTGGATCCTATCTTGCAAGTTGTATGCACCTATTATGTGTTATGATCCGCAGACCCAAAGGTGATAATAATTGGGGTTCACTCCAGTGATGACCGTGGTATGAGGAGTTCATGTATGCATTGAGTGTTAATGCTTTGTTCTGGTTCTCTATTAAAAGGAGGCTTTAATATCCCTTAGATTTCCTTATGGACCCCGCAACCATGGGAGGGTAGGACAAAAGATGTTATGCAAGTTCTTACTATAAGCACGTATGACTATATACAAAATACATGTCTACATTATATTGATGAATTGGAGCTATTGTGTATCGCTCTAGGTTGTGACTCTTACATGATGAATGTCATCCAACACAAATATCCTTCGCTGATCCAATGCCTATGCTTTTCTCATATTGATCTTTGCAAAGTTACTACTATTGCCGCCGCTGTTACAACCACTACAAAACAACTACAGTTACTGTCACCATTACTAATGCTACTGATGTCTACTACACAACCTTCTTCTTGTAGACGTTGTTGGGCCTTCAAGTGCAGAGGTTTGTAAGAAAGTAGCAAATTTCCCTCAAGTGGATGACCTAAGGTTTATCAATTCGTGGGAGGCGTAGGATGAAGATGGTCTCTCTCAAACA